TGGAAAGCAAACAATCCAGTTGGTTCAAATTCAGCCAAACCATACATTGAAAGTATAATTGTGGCATGAGGTAGTTATGACAGACCAACTTCTGTTCAGGCAATCTCATGCCATATTAGCTGAATTACGTATCCTTATTGAAGCTGCCTGCTGTTCCAGTTCCTAGTGATGTGTGCTATACCTCAGTTCCACGTGTTAATTTATCTGAAGCTAATTCACCTGAACATTTGTTAACCGTTTGGTACCCAAATGAATCTACCTTCTTCCTGCTTCTAGCTTTTATATCTTCCACTACTTAAGAAGAAGGCATAAAAGGTTAAGAGAAGGGCATTTTTCTCCTTTTGCCTTCAGTTTTGAGAAGTCTGCTTTTTGTTGTTGTTGTTGTTGTGTTGCAGTATACATAATACTTTCCTCAGGGTGGCTGGGACATTTTTCTCCTGGGAAACTCAGTTATATTACTACCATAATTTAATTTGCTTTTATTGAATCCACCACTTTTATCTGTTCTTCCACATCATAACAAGTGGTTTACAATAACTTAACAAAAATCATCTGGACAGAACAATGATACAAAGGCTATTTCCCAAATATATTTTCCCCATTCATTTGCTTTGGCCTCATAGATCAACCATAGCCTTTCAGAAAGTTCTTGTAGAATCCTGGGGTTTTCCAGAATGTTTTGATAATTAAGATACAAACTGCATGTCTCTCAGTTAAATTAAAAAATAAACTAGATGGAGCTACCTTTGTAATCCACTTAGTTGGAAAAGACACTTATTTGTATGTAATTATTGTTTTACAGAATTAATACACAAAATCGTACCCCCTCTGTATGTATGTGTGTGCACACATGCACACACAGACATATTCATACATACATGCATACTTCAGATTATTGATTATTCTATTCCTGTGGCCTCACTATCATCGGTGTTATAATGTCTCCTTTATTGTTGGCATTTTGGCAAACTGGGTTGTTTTTCTTGATCCTGGACCTTGGTTGTATGGATTATTATCATCTGAATGTTCTATTATTGTTTGATTTTTAATTATTTATGTTCTTCACATTGCCATGTGAGCATATTAAATTATCTAAATAAATAAATAACATACTTTTTTTTGTCAAAGGAGGTTCCAGTTCCAGTTTTTCTTTTCTTCATTTACAGTTCTTCCTTCAACATTGTGGTGCTTTATGTGGAGCAAAAGTTAATAGGAAAGTGGTATTAAACATACTTTATTTTTAATTCCCTAATTCATAGTTTATATCCCTCTTTATATTAAACTGGTTAAGGCTATTAAAGTTTCCTATATTCCTAAATTAGTTTGACAATATTTGTTTATTTGTTTTTAGTTAACTCAAGAAGTTTCTAACTTTCAGTATACATGGCCGCAAGCACAGTGTGACCGTTCGACTTCTAATGCAAGTTTTTAGTGAAATTTATATACTAACGTTATTTTTTTTTTTACTCCAAACCATCAGCCAGTTGGCATTTGGAGTTTGCAGTAATAAAACAAAAACTTAAGAGCTTCCAGGGATAACTTGCACTCACTGCATCCAAGATAACAGTGGGCTGTGCAAGCTGGTTCGGATTATAGATTAAACTGATGGATGAATCTTGCTGCAGATGGAATGAGGTTTACCATTTTCCCAGAGGAAAGGAAATGTTTGCACCAATGTATGCATACAGAAAAATATCTGTTGGCAAACTTTAACTTTTCTTTCGTAGGTTGCAATCCTTGAGGAAATGAATTGACATATAATAGATGCTTTGTTTGCCTTTTGAACATAATGTGAGTTGAAGAAAGACAGAAAAACCATTCCATTAATGTATTTGCTCCTAAGCAGAGCTGGGGAACATATGTCCACCATATCTTGTTCAACTACAACTCCCACCAGGACTTCCAATAGCGAGCAATGAAGTGGTCTTTAGTTCAGTGCTGTCTTAATAGTCAGAGGTTCCATACCTTATTGTAGAGGCACATTAAAGAAAGTAAAATACGAAGCATTTTACTACTACTTGATCTTCTCCAAATGTTGCTCGAGATGGAGGGAGTTAATTAAGCGCAACCCAATGGCACTAAGACTGTTGCAGATTATTGTTTCAAAGCACAGTTCATCTTTTGTTTAGTCCTGCATTGTTTTGTTTCTTCAGCATAAGACCACTATAACAATGGTTTTGAACTTCAGCGCTGTATGCGCAGGTATTTCTGTCTGGCAATTGGTGGCTGATTGAATCAATGTCAAATAGTTCTAAAGACTGAAAGAAGCTTGACTGATTTTGATCATTAAGCTCTGTAAAGGGAGTACTATTAATTTAGCTGGTGAAAATATTAAGCACTGGTTGTGACATGTTAGGTGAAAGAGCTACCAGTGATATAAAGCCCTCTTTTCTTTTCTTGGTCCTTGATTCTGAGTTCCTTCGGGGCTGCACCGTCATAAATAAATCAAGTGTGTTTGGGGCACAGTTAGCAGCCTCTGTTTAGCAGAGGGACATGACTAAAAGGACACCAATGCTTAATCATCCCTGTTGGGGAAAAGGAGAAAAGGGAGGGAGGCACCATCTCACCCTCCACATCAAAAAGAGGATTATAGAATGCAATTTTCTCTACACCTAAGTGCATTAGAGCTGACCTAGGAATAAAGAAATGCCTTCTGATTTCTAGTCTTTTTCTTTTGTCTCCTTTACTGTCCAGAACAATAGCATCTTCCTAAGCAATCTCCTTTTAAAATATAGTGGTTTATTGTTCTTTTATGCCTGGTTAATAATATTAAATAACAATATTGTTGTTATAGAAGTTCCTGATCCTCATAACACTTCTTCAGGTCATTGAATTTCTCAGACAGCTATAATTGTACGCATTTGCTGTTTGTGGTGGGTGTTAGCTGGGTCAGTTGGAGCTGCTAGTGTTGCTGGCACTGGAGGGATTTTGTTTATTCCAGTAAAGCAGTGTTCTCAACCTTACAGCTTTAAGAGGTGTGGACTTCAACTCCCAGAATTCCTGAGCTAACATGACTGAAGGAGGAATTCTGGGAGTTGAAGTCCACAAGTCTTAAAGCTGTCAAGTTTGAAGAGCCCTGCTCTAAATGAAAGATCTGTTTTCTAAGTTGCTTTGGATTCTTTTGTAAAACAGTACAGGCTATAACTTTAAGGCTGTGCAGCTTTCAGATTTAGAATGAACTAGTATGCTTTAATTACACTAAGGAAATAGTCTTAAAACTGTGGGACTTCTGCCTTTATTCTTTGGGGTCCTTTGTTTTTATGTACAGTTTTTAGATTTAAATTGTTCGAAGCTTCTTTTGCTGTGATTTTAATATTGTCCACACTTATGGGACACTTATACTGTGCTTTGTCGTTTTAAGAGAATGTTTTATTTTGTATTGTTAGCTACCTACCACAGGCTGGATTTACTGATAGGAAGCAGGTTACAAATGTGATACCTATATAAATAGAATGGAAGAACTGCTCCATCGATGAAGAACTGTGCCAATGCCATAACATAATCGCTATGGTGGCATGATTCCTTTGGTAGAAAGTTTGAGGGCTAGAAATTTACCATTAACATTAGACCCCTGGATCCAAAGCATCTTTACACACTTTTACCAACCTTCCTTTGGAAGAAACTCTTGGGGTAGAATAAAAGAAGTACCGTGCACAAAATCATCAACTTTGCACTCTGAAGTTTTTGACCTCTCACAGCTCTGTGAAGAATTGATAACTCTAGGCAATTGTGTCTCACTCCTGAATATTCCTGTTCACTTTATTTGTACTAATCCCATACAAGTGTACTGTGGAGCAAGAGAAATTGGAATCTAATCTGCGCAAGCCAGATGTTGGGAATGGATGAGATCATTCCATATACCTAGTTGTATGGTGAATTGTCAAATAATTTGGTTTTAAACCTTGAATCTAGAGTTCTAAATTGAGCTGGCAAGTACATTGATATCAAGTCATATGGAAAGTTATCAATTTTTTGAAATCCAGCTCTGCCCTCTCTTCTACCTCAATGTCATTTGCTTTCACTTCCTTAAAGTGCTACAGGAATTTGCCCCATTTAATGTTTGAGGTCACTGGTAAGGAGCAGTCCAATTGTTATTTCCTTTTTCTCTGCCTCTGGAGAGAAATCCATGTCTCTGGTTTACAATCTTCCACTCGTCATTTCTTTCAAGCAAAAGGCTGCTCAGGGGAAGCATCCATTAGAACTCTTCTATGTAAATTCATGTAATTTTGTGTAATTAACTCTTTCCATAAATGTTTTAATTAAGAATTACATGTCTAGTTTATTTTTTTAATAAAAAAGACAACATTAAAAAAATTTAAAATGTTAAAATGTTTTAAAGACAAACTTAGGAGTAAAATTGAAACTAGTCGGCCTAATTATTGGGTCCTTTCATGTCTCATACCTTCTGTTTATAGTCTTAAATGATAATTTTATTGTATTGTCTTCTTATTTTGTTTCCCACCCAAAGATCCTTCTAATAGATGGGTAGTACTTAGACTTATATACCTCTTCACAGTGTTTTACAGCGCCCTCTAAGCAATTTACAATTTATTGTAATTTATTGCCCCCAGCAATCTGTGTCCTCATTTTACTGACCTCAGTAGAATGGAAGGCTAAGTCAACCTTGAACTGATGAGAATCGAACTCCTGGCAGTCGGCAGAATTAGCCTCCAATACTGCATTCTAATGACTGCAGATAGATAGATAGATAGATAGATAGATAGATAGATAGATAGATAGA